CCAAGGTTGTGTTTCAAGCTGTTGCCACAAAAAATTGTAAATAAAGTCATTAACACTGATAGGATTTGCGATGCTGGAATTTAACCAATCACTTTTAAGCGTTAATACAACAAAAGATATTTTTCACTAGCAATGGCAACTTTTATACAAATTTAGTGTAAATGTGCAAAGCGGTGGGTTCGTGTGTGGAATTGTATTTTGGAAAAATATCTTATTCCTTTGAATATAAAAGTAATTTTTGCCTTTATTCAAATGTTGAGCACACTGATCGCCTTTTTGACTTTCCATTATTATTTTAATAATTCGTTCTTTCACTAAATAGTTAATGAATCAATAGCCTCGTCAGAGGTAAAAATATTGCGCAATCAAATTGTTTTAATTTTTTTTATTGTGTTTAGCCCACATTTTTACTGTGTGAATCAAAACAATAGCGGTGTATAAATATCTGCTTGAATTTTCCAATTTGCTCCAGAGAATGTGATAAATTTTAGTCAATTTTCTATGACTTCTTATTTGACACAACATCAATGCCGTTCATTATGTACTGCTATCGTAAAGGGCACAAAACTCTGACTAATATCAATAAAGATGAAATCAACAAAATCAAGAGGTAAGGATTCTTTTAATGCCGATTTTCCCAACAATTTACAATCGTATTTCGATTTAAAAAGAATTATTTGCAGTGTTGCCTCGATTCTTTACAATTGATATCAATATAAATAAAATTAATTAACAACGCACTTAAATATTTATAAAAAAACATATAATAAATCACAAAATCTAATTTATTTGAAAGATTGATCTTTGTCTTCTGTCACTCATAATAAAACAACACAACTTATTCTATAACTTTATAATTAAAGATTATCAACTTGTTCCCGAAATGAGACTAATTCTATTTAATGCCATCCGCTAGAGCCGTGTATCTACCAGGTTTACTGGTATGAATGAGAAAGTAAAAGAAAAATATTTAAAGTATAGACCATTGCCTTTTAAACATTTGATCACTGTTTGGCCTAATTTGTGGATAACATGCTATAGAATGTTTGTTCGAAGCAAAACCCATCAGAACACCCAATTTTCAACTTCTGCGTAGAACTATAGTGCTGCTCAGCCAATGGTGTCCCATCGACGAAAACAAATGGTAATCAAGTCGCCAGCCTGGTGAACAGGCGGGTGAGGTAGACGCACCCAGCCAAGTACTTGATATCCCTAAACCGATTTTGCTTTGTGTGCAGGTACCTGTCGTCTAGTAAAATTACTTTGCCTTGTCTTCTGGACCATTCTTGTCGTTTTTCGATCAATGCATGGTTCAAATTGATCACGTGTTGTCTGTAGCAATAGTATTAACAGTTTCACCAAGTTTTAGAAGCTCATGTATATCACACCCTGTTGATTCCACCAACAAACAGAGCATTACCTTCTACTGAATCGATCAGTTTTTGCGGTCGATGTTGTTGTTGGGCCGGATCCCATGATTTTCTCCGTTTAGGATTCTTAAAATAAATCAATTTTTCATTACCACTGAAAATCAATGCAAACCATTTTTCGTGTCTTTAAAGATCATTCACAAGTGTTTTCGTTTTCATTAGCTCTCATTCATCATATGCACCCATTTTCAACTCTAACCTTTCCATATAGCTTTTTAAACTAGGTTTGCTTTTGACTCAAAAATTATCATCTTATCCAATATTGCTTGCAGTTCGGCGTCTTCAACTTTTTAGTGTCTTCACGTTCTTCATATTCAATCAAAACTTTTTCTGAACGTGAAATCATCTTTTGCATTGTTTCTTGAATTAGATCACTACATGCCTTACAAGTATTGGATGCGACTCAGCACTTTTCAAATGGAAAACAATTACTTTTCCCAACTCACTGATTGCAGGTACATTGCATTTTGACACATATGATGTTTCTCTTTCATTCTACTCTTCAAAATCATTAGTCTACGTAACGCCTTAAATCGGATAACCTAATTTTGAGCGGAATAGTAGTGAGAAATTAATTGGTGTGAACGCTGACCATCAGTAGTATTTGGTAGAGGTTATCTATGTTATTTATAGCTTCGCATTATGATACCAAAAAAGGTCAATCAATGCTTTTTAAAAGCTATTTATTCTGTAAGATATTTCGAACTTATAGGCGGTTACGAGATTCCTTGTATTAAAAATAGATGTGCAAAATAAAAATTACATTAATCTTACTCGGTAGCTGGGATTGAACTCAGGTTCTATTATTTTGGAATTTATGGCTAAATGATCCGTTCCCGACAAATTAAGTGCTGAACGGACAGGTCGGCAACCAATTCCACAGATATCACTACGCATCACAGTCATATTTAATATATTATTATCTCTGTTCAAAACCCAGTATTTACAATTAGCACTGAATTTGAAGAAAGAATTATAAAGACAGAAATTGGTTGGATAAACAATTCTGAAAAGTGACGACCTTCCACACAGTTTATTATATATGATGTTTCATAGTAATTAAGAGTCATTCCTTTATCAAAGTTTAGGATCTGTTCACCATTAAATGTATACTTCACGGAAAAATTTATATGCTCTTAATTGATGCTCTCTCCCTTCCATTATTAAAACTCACATCGAGCAAATTTTAATTAAATTGCTGAATACATATAATTTTATTTAACTATAAAATTTTGTTGCATATTTTGCCGAAATTACTTTATACTATACATAACCGAAATATTATTTAGAAATAAGTATTTATATTGTTTGATTGTGAGATTATAATTAGAATAACCTGATGCAAATAACATTTGAAAAAAAGATTATTAAATTATGCAAATTTCTATCTATATATAATATATATTCATTTGTTTATTATATATATATATATGTTGTGTATTATGTATAATACGCAGATGCGGGTACTATTATATGATATATATTTGCAAATGTGTGAATGCAGCTATTTTTATCATTGCGCTTTGATTTTCTTTACTCTTAGCAAAGCCTTTTTTATATATATTAATCGTTCAGATTTGCTAGATACTGCACTTTTAATATGTTGTTTTATATAAATGTATGTATTTTAATATGTAAGTACCTACATGTATTCGTAGCTAATTTAAGCATTTTTGTTATTTTATTCCTTTTTTCCTATTCGTCTGATTGTAAAATAATTATAAATTCTGCCTACTGTGACACTTTTGATCCACTGGACGTGTTGAACGGGATAACTTTCCTACCACATTTCATGCACACAATAGTCTAGACGGCAAGTTATCCTTTCTGCTTTTCGATTAGATTTGTAGAGTTTATAAAGTGATTAGTTGAATATGAAAGTTTTGTTGAAAGATGGAAGACTCATGTGGAATAGTTGTGAAAATTATGCAAACATTACAAGTATATTTTTACGATTTTTCTTTGGTTTACAATTATTTTAAATTTTATATTTAATTTTTGTATTTTTGTAGATTTTACAAATAGGTTGAAAACTTTGTCTGTTATCATGCCATTATTGTTGCATATTCACTACTAACGTAACGTAATTGAAACACACTCTGAAACTAAATTTTGTTAAGCTATTAAACGAGATAATCATGTGGATCCGGAAGCTGAAGAAATTTTGAAGAAGTTATAGTGACTAAATTATTGCTAGATTGCGGAAAAAATAAATTTAAATTTATATTTATGCTATAGTGTTGCAGTAAAATGTTATGTAATTGAAGATGCGAAAATCTTTCAGACCGCTTGGTAAAAAGCTCAATATTTATTTTTCAAGGAAAACTTATATGCAAACAGTTAGTTTCAGCTCTTTCATTAAATATTTAGTTTCTTCGTTTGCTCAGAACTCAGCAGTTACCATTACGTGTGAGTGAAAAACTGCAAAATATTATCGACTTTAATCAGGCTATTATTAACTGTTTAGTGCTTTTTCTGATTTTGAACTTTTCATAACAACCATATTCTTCAGGTAACTCATCAGTTTTTCTTGAGACTGAACTTTTCTTTGTTGTAAATTTCTATACGTAATATTTTTCTAACCTATGTTCTTTGTTTTATAGTGTTGATTGTTTAGATTGAAATTCTATCGATAATCGCTGTTCTTTTTCGATTTCTGATTTTGTTGTTTTATTTTTTTTTTGGTTTTATCCTTTTTAGTTTTGGTAAAATGGGTAGTTTTCGTTACTTTATAGACGATCAACAAGTTGTTCTACGAATGACTTCAGTATAGGCATAAAAACGATCCACTAGCGATACGTTTTCTTACGCTATAAATATTAGCATATATATTTAAGTAAAGAAGAACATTAGGAAAATATTGATCCCTAGAAAGTAATGAATAGTAAAAGAGAGCTTTAAATGGCTAATATGATTTTGAGGTATTATTTTCACCAAGTTATGTTTTATGATCAAGGTTAATGTAAAGTATTATGCACTAGTATTCCGACAGAATTTATTTATGCTTCTAGGTTGTCAGGTGTTTGCAGGAAATTAAGTCACGCTAGATGTTACTTTCCGGCACCACTACATCCACTAGTATTTTATCGTGATCGCGTTTGTCCTGTTTTCCGAAGCATTCACGATTTTATTTGTTTGACAAAATTTATTTAAAAGAGCCCAAAGTTCTGTAAAGCCAGAGGTGGATAGCCAAGCGTCACTATAATCGATTTTACATTTTCATTCATTCTTCCCAAATTCCTATATCATATATCAAGTGTAGAACTACAGCTGAGTATAGTTTTAACCAAAACTTTGCGGTAAAAATTATCTCTACGAAACTTATTGCTGCCGTATTTTATAGAACTTTGAAAAACAGTGTCTTAGCACTAAACCAATTGTAATCTGAATCTAGATGTTTGAAAATTCCTCGTTGTAGGGTCAACCTGCTTTCATTTTGCTATCATAGGGTAGGGTAATCTGATTTTAGACAATTGCTGTAAGATCTACCACAATATTTAAGCAGTTAAGAAGAGGTTCAAGGTTAGTTATGACAATAAAGTACTTTTTTGTAGATTTAAAAAATTCGTTTTATGCTTGGAGCGCTATGAAATAAGTATAACGAGATGAAATGACATTATTTCACTTCACCGAACGAACAAATGTGAAGTTTTGCCCAACGAGGTGTACAGTGAATACCTGGCGTGTCAAAGTGGCTGAACCATTGCCTGGACTAGTGCGTATCAACATTTTTATGAGTTCAGTGTCAATCTAAAAGCAAATTTATTAAATAACAAACTTATTAAAATATTTCCAGTATTTGATTTACTTTACTAGTCCATCTGCGGCCTGCGTGATGCGGAACCATTAATTTCATATCAGTGCCCTCATCTGTGCAAGAATATGTCAATTTGTACTCTCATTAGCATCTTGAACATAGGACGGACCATGGCGGAGTCACATAATGAAACAGTTTCAAATTGATTTAAGAGTTTTCTATTTTCAAGCAGTCTCTACGCACTCATAAACACAGTCAAAGTGTAGTCCTTTGTGAGATCAGTGAAGGTATCAGTGGTGGTGCGCGTACCAGCCGTGTCCAGATAGATCAAAGCACAAGATTCAAGAAAACTGACGCCTTGTACACATCTAGCATAGCGACTGAGGAAAGAGCATTTATTTCCAGTAATTGTAAATTATTATTATTCCTTTGTTTAACTCACACATAGTTGTTGGTTTCATGATATAGACTATCTCCACCTTGGAGCCACGGTATAGTCCGTTTGGATAATCAGCTGAGTTGCTGCAATTGCGTGACAGTGCAATACCATGCGCTGATTAGCGCGCACCGCCTTGTCCAGCGTCATATCAATGCTGAAGGTGGAGAATATAGAAGAATATTATAATATTCCTATAACGCAGTTTAAGTATTGTATGTCACCGTATTCCGTCAGACGCAACTGTATGGTGCCATTAGTCATGGCAATGGGGCCAGCACCTGACAAGGTGGCGGAGGATTCTCGTATTCAACACCGCGGTGACTGCCGCTCAAGCGTCCGACTGCGTATTGGTGGCGGCGGCATTGGTTGTGAAACTGCTGCGCGTGGTGAGAAGGCGACATGGTAGGCGGCTGTGGATGGGAATTATGATAGATAAATGATAAAGGAAGACTTCAATACTCAGCGATACAAGGATACATAAACTTATTAACTGCTTCGAAGCTGGCAACAATAAATGAGAGGCCGATTTTAAGGCACCTGAGCATCTCAAGGATTTCATGATCAGTTATTTCATGAAAAATTTGTTGCTGCTTACCAAAGGCTGCACTATTAGAAGAAATTTGCCGATCTGAGTCAGAGTTTAGGCTTAGGTTTGAGAACGTTCTTAAATTTCCACCAGGTTACGTTAAAATCGAACCTTACAGGAATTCTCACTTGAGATAGCTTATAATCGGTACGATTGCGGTTTGCGTCGACTGTGTTTTTAGCTTTGCAACATAAACTTTTACTCCGACCAAGACCGGTGAATTGTTACTTGAAGATGTAACTCGAAAAGTTCGGTCAAAACATTAACTTTCCTAAAAAGCCAGGTTATTAGTAGCAATGTAGTCAGACCAATGCAGACTGAAATCATATTTCGACAGGATACAGAAATTCCTGCTACTTTATATGGTAGTGAGACCCCATAGCATTGCTGTCATCTGGCAATCGTTCGCAAAACGAATAATTTATGGATCTCGTATCCATAAAGATACGCATTGCCTACCTTACTATAGGAGCCCTAAGGGATTTCTGAACGTATTCAGTAGTATTTACGTTATTCGCATAGAACTTGTAAATAATAAACTAAGCACATATAAATACTTCAGTCGGTTTCTACCATGAAGGTTTCAAAGATTTCACTTACCATACGACATATCTCGAAACCATAGATCGGAGATGGTGGTGCTAAGCATGATAGCGAGTATTGAAGACACCCTTGTCATGCCGCCGCTACGTCCAGTCAGTGTTTCATAGCCACCGTAATGATGCGGAGAAGCTGCACTCATGTGCACCGGTATGGGCATTTGACGAGCCTGCAATGCGGCTGATGGTGTGGATGTCTCCTGGGCGTCATAACGGCACCAGGTGCTGTGGCAGTGTTGGCGGAAGTGACCGACGAAGCGTTGCTGCGATACAAAGGGAGCAGCGCTGGCATTAAACGCGTAGAAGAGAAAATAATGAGAATGATTTATGAAAGAGAATTATGATTTATTGTTGAGCATATCAAAGTATCAAGAGAGCGCAATTAGCGGAAATTCGAAAACTGGGATTGACAATCAGCTGGCAGCCGTTGTCAACGCTTGAGAAAACGCAATTGACATTTCACGACATTTAAATGAATTTTTCCTCATATTGCACACACAGATGATTTTAGAAGAGCACGTATATAAGTGAACGACACACCTGATTTCGCGCACTCGTCAGTAACAACAAAATAGCAAACAGAGAATTAAAAGCAAAATGCTGACTCACCGATGACGGCGTTATGGCAGTGAAACGGGGTTGCCGCACACCATTCGGTGTCTTTGTGGCGAGCGTAAATGTTATTAATCTTTTCATTCATATTGACACGCGCCAGAAAGTCCTCGGTGTTGAAGCCAAGGCTGCTCACTGGCAATGTAGTTTCGGTGTTTCCGGCTGTACAGGTTCGGCTTCTCCTCCACCTGATCCTTAACTGGCTTTTTCAGTTCCGTAGCGTTTTCCGAATCTATTTTCTTCAAGCTTTTACTGTCTTCAAAACTGTTTTAGTGACACTATAAGAAAACTCTAATTGCTTTGGTTAAGTGGTGGAGGTGTTGCTGGTGGAGGGGTGATAAGAGTTGGTCACAACTGTTGTGCTGCAATATAATGATGACTAACGCAAATTTTACGCACTTTTATTATAGTAACTTGAGTTTAACGGTCTGCGAAAATTATTTGCTAGACGCGTTACGCTTTTTCCTTTTGGTGGAAGAAACTTTTGGTACGTTTGAGAGAGAAAAACTGAAATTCGAATTTTTATTGCATGTGTCTGCGCGTGTAAAAATTTTCAACTGAATACGAAAGTTAAAATTCTCAAGATTTGACGAAATTGAAAAATCTAAAGGTTGCTAGTAATTTTCCAAACTCAGGTCAGTGATACACTTCACACATGTTGCAGTGAAAGGCATGATTGAAACAGATGAGCGGAACAGCTGAACAGCGTCTGTTTGACAGCACTGCGTTAGGGAAATGCCATGCGAGTGACAGATGTTCAAACATATGTAATTTTGAAATGTAACTGTAAAGTAATCACTATTGGAATGAAGATTTTAAAACACAAACTGTTATTTTTGCAGTATGCTATTGAAATGTACATGGTGGTCTGCTGCGTTACTGGTATTTGTGCATACTTTTAGGCGCGTTGGTTAAATTTCATTGGCAGAGAACGTAAATGATTCTCTGCATTTACGTTCTCTGGTTATATTCATTAACATTCTCTGCCTATGATTTCATGCAGAATTAATTAACAGAGCATCATATTCCGCTAAAATTTACAATTCCAGCTAACTCCAAAATTTTTTAATTTCAATATTTATAAAGCAAATTCTTTCGAATACTTTTATACATACATACATACATATACAATATGTATATTTATATTTATATATTATATAAAGCAACGGTACCAGCATTCGAAAGTAAATCTTAATTGCCAGCGGTATCATATAATTTGATTGCGATATGATCAGTTAAAAGCCAAAGGTATGAGCAAAGTTATAAAAATGACAATGAAAACAATGTCAATGTCAAAGTCAAAACGTCAGAAGATGAACAAATACATATATGTACATACATATAAAATGAACAAATTGTAGTATACGTATGCAAATTGAAGTACTATCATCCATACATACATACATTGTTATACTTGTACTCAAGCGGTTGTGGTGATGAGTGTTCACCTACGCTTCAATGAAATAAAAGTTAAATGAGGCCATCGAGAACCTTTAGCTCAGTGGATAGCTTAAATACAGATATATGGTTTACGGATTTTGTTTTAATGGTTATGGCCCTGATGCTGATCTTGATATTAAGAATGTAAACAGTAGCATACTTACATACGTAAGAAGAAGAAAAGTATTCAACATTTTTTCTTTTTTTTTGTATATTTTTATATTGCTTTCTCGAATTAATGCAACAAAGATTCATTCGCGATTCAACAATAAACGACTTTCTAAATAATGAAAACTAAAATTCAAAAATATTAATTTAGCAAAATACGAAGAAATTTTATCGAAAATGGCAAGAAAATTGCAGAAAAAAAGTCTAAAAATAGACATTTTCAATAGAATATAAAATAATGCGTAGATGATTGATTGATTGGTTGATTTCAAATAGTTTATTTGCAATTTCTGGAAATTGATTGAATCATACAGCAAAATATTTGAAATTAGTTTATACTTGGTAAATATTATTGCATTAGTCTCTTAACTTTAGAGGGTTTTTAAAGAACAAAACAGAGACATCTGAAAGTCGCTATCTAAACATTTAAAGAGTCGTTTTGAGCGCAAATACTAGCCACATAAGTTTTTTTTTTTCAAACTTAGACGCGTTGTGTTCAAGAAAAGCCATAAGTATACATGTAACACTTAACTTTTTAGTAATTCTGTTTTTTTAAAGTTGCACCTCTTCTTCTATTTCATGAGTGTACCTTGACTTTAATCGACAAATAGACCTACTATAACGAAATTCGTCTGCATCGAAAACTCTAGCTTTAACTTCGTGATTGACAAGTCACCTCACTTAGGTATAGATCGTATAATAATATGTACTAATATTCTTCTCGAAAATAATTTTTATTTTTTCGGAAATTACTGTACTTCGCCCTCACTTATCCACCAACACCAGCAAGTAGCGGCGAGAGTAAATATAGACATTCATACACACATGCACATGTACAGAAATATTATATAATAACAAGGGTGTATATTTGCTCTATATACGGTGTACAAATTCAATCGGTCTCAATTTTCTGTGTGTTTGGCAATTGTTTGTTAACACTCCAAAAAGTTTGCCTGACTATTTTTATCAAATTTTTACCATAATTTTACAACGAGTTCGCTGAGTCTGACTGTTGGCAGTACAGGTTCGAATTAAAAGTCCGCTTATAGCAGATGTTTCTCACAAATATCACTAAACACATAGCATCCTGGCTTGCTTACCGTTTGCACCAGCTCATTTAACGTTGTAATAAGTGAGCCTTTTTTAGTCACTAATACCGATTCTCTTCAGAAATGGATCGTTTTTGATGCGTTTCAGCAGCGCTACGCAGATGGGAATTCGGTCCATTAGGTTTATTTCTGTTAACTCGTGTGACAAACACACATCGAGTTTAGCTTTGTATTACGCATAATTCAAATCGTTTCAAACGGTAATTTGAGCAATTGCAATATTTATTACATGACGATCAGACTCGATATTTTAGACAATTGGCCTTACAAATCGTAGTGCGCCTTTGACATAAAAATTATCGTAACGGAATCGACAAAACTGAAACTATTTTTTCGCCTTTTTCGCAGAAACCCTGTAAAATAACACATATTATTTCTTTGCTAGTGTTCATCTTTGACGCGAGCTCAAACAATACTAAACTAAGCAATTACGACACTGATTCTGTATAGATTATAGAGTAACCCTATACTCATAGCACTTATGGTATATTGCGAGAGGTATAAATTGCTAAAGCCATATATTGAAAAAATCATGGATTTATTTATACTACGCCTATTTTATGTTTGATATCATTCTTCCAGCATTTTTTCATAGATCTGGTATGATGACAGTAAATAGCTGTGAGCCTCTTATTACTAGGCACAGCTCAATTTGTTTTCAATACTTAATGCAGCGCAGAGACGCGTCTATAAACTTTTTCCGCTAATTTTTTCCCTACTTTGCCACAAGGCGTTGAACGTTCCTCTATGTATCAACATAAAAATTTTGAACTTGACCGATCAGCTTTTTATAGTAAATATCAGATAGACCTAAAAGTTCGTAAAAAACACATTTAAAAATTCAAAATTTAATTTTGTTATAAATTACACCGTTATAAATACCAATCAATATTAATTTATAAAATTTTGAAAAGTAAATAATGAAAGCTTTAATAAGTGAAAACGTTAATTAAAAATAAAAAAAATCGAACGTGTGCTCTTCAAAGAATTAATCAAAAATAAAAAACATTAAAAATTATATTTCAAGTATTCTTTTGGCAATTCGTTATATTGCATGCTCTGAATGGCTTTTAAAATTTACTTCCTCACTTCATTGATAAAGCGTGCCTGCTATGTTCCGAAAAGTACTGCAAAAAATATATTAATGCTTATGATGAGCAACAGAAAACGATTTATCATCAAATCGATGGTCAGTGGTCAATGGTGGAAAAAGTTTAATGATCTGTATGTTTTTTGCGATTGTGCCGTGCGTAGGCAAAATACAAGCGGGCATGAGTATTGAAAGCTAAGGGGGAGAATAAATTGTCTTGACGGCAATTTTTTTTTCCAAAAAAAAAGTTTTCCACTGTAAATGCAAAGAAACTTGTATATACAAATAAAAGAAGTAAATAACCGTCTGAGTAAAAATAGCTACAATGAAAACTACTAAGCACATCAAAAGCTGATGGCGGCTATGTTTGTCAACAGGAATGTCAATAAAGGACAATTGAGAGCAATAAATGTATTGACATTGCAGCTAAGAACTCTTACGCTGCTACTTGTATAATTGAGAAATTTATTTATATAATTTTGGGCGTCTGAGTGTTTTAAAGTAAACCAAATATACATATATATTTTTTCAGGCAAAGCTTTTATGAACAGAAATTTATAAATAACCCTTAAACAATGCTAATTTCCAAATCTCGTTAAACATAAGACAAGTTCATGGAAATGCAAATAATGTCGCGCAGCCAATTGCAAAAAAGCAGGAAATATTATAAAGTCGACCAATAATTCACTTTTTCAGGCACAAACATGTCATGCCTCGCTGCTAAAAACAAATAGAAAGGCCAATAGAAGCAGATTAGCACTGTCGTTAAAATAATTTTTCATTATTAATCAACATATATGTGTGCAAATGTAATTGTTGTTTCCATTTTCGTCTTATATAATTGTTGTGCTTATTTTCACGTTTCTTATTATTGTTATTGTTGTTGTTACGCCAATTAAAGCGTTGAAAAGTGCTACAAACGTGGCGCAACAACTTGTCGTCAATACAAGGTGAAATCCACGCGCACACAAACACACTACAATAGGCTTCAGTAAATACTCGTGCCAGACGCGCCGGGGCGTATGTGGAACACTGAGCTGCTAACCTATTACAAAGCGATTTGTCAAATTGATCGTGTGAAGGTTTCAGCAATAGGTTCTGTTATATATCATGCGATTATATACACAAATACTTAATTCATGTTTATTGAGTGAAAAGCAACAATAAAACATTTTTTCAAAAGCACATAGTAAACAAATAAAAATATAATAATATAATTAAAGTGTAGTAAAAGGTTATATTCAAGAAAAACTAGAAAAAATATTAACTTCGGGCGGAACGAAGCTATAATACCCTTCATAGGGGAATTTTTTTTAACATCAAACCATATAAAATTACTTTTATATTGGTTTTGATCGAACAGTTTGTATGACAGCTATGTGCTATAGTGATCCGATCTCAAATTTTCGGATGTTATAACTTTGCCTTTAACAATAATATAAGTCAAATTTCGTGAG